CTATCCTTAAAAAATATATTTTCAACCTTTTAAAAAATTAAATATTTATATATCCTCATAAAGAATTTTTTTTTTTTGGTCAACATCCTCATAAAGAATAACAAACACTATTTGCTACCAAAGCACTACAACTAGAGTACTAGTAGTAACGCCTTTTGTGAAATGTCGTATAAACCATTCGGTGTCTTTATTATGATCTTGGTGATATTTACAGAATCTTTACTATTTCATTATGAATATTTTAACGGTAAAATTTGAATTTTGCAGTGAAATCATGCATGCGATGTGGAAACCGCAGAAGTTTAAGTACATTTACTTGATGGCTACGTTATATGTTTTCACACTAACAATTCCGTCAGCTTCAGCAGTTTACTGGGCCTTCGGAGACGCACTTCTCGACCATTCCAACGCTTTCGCTCTCCTCCCTAAGAACGCGTGGCGTGATGCCGCCGTTATCCTCATGCTCATTCACCAAGTAAGTTAGAATCATTCACATTATTTCATTCTTAGTAAATTTCGATTATGAGATTAATGAAGTTATAATGCAATGTGTTTGCGCAGTTTATAACGTTCGGATTCGCGTGTACGCCATTGTATTTCGTGTGGGAGAAAGTGATTGGAATGCATGACACAAAGAGCATTTGCTTGAGGGCTTTGGCTAGATTGCCTGTGGTTATACCGATATGGTTCTTAGCTATCATTTTCCCGTTTTTCGGTCCTATCAATTCCGCGGTTGGTGCTCTTCTGGTTAGCTTCACCGTCTATATCATCCCTGCACTCGCTCACATGCTCACTTACCGATCTGCCTCCGCTCGTCAGGTACACACTTTTTTCTACTAAATCCACTCTCTAAATCGTAATAAAACTCATTAAAAACTAATTCCATTTTTTATTTACGTTTGCATTTCAAGAATATTAATAAACGTAAAGGCAAAGAAATAATCGTGGCTTGATTAAATTACAATTCTTAAGAGTTGACTATGATTACAAATTACAATTCAAACGTTACCAATCATACTTTTTTGAAATCGGTCGGTGGAAGAATATTAGTATAAACTGTAGTTAGGGTAGGGATTGTAGATAGGTATACAGAGTGAAGGGCAAATATGTCATTTTAAAAAGTAGATGGGGTTGAGAGTTCCGTATCTTACGGAAGATAGGATCATCACCCACATTCCTTACTGGACTCCCCTCCAAATATTTATTATTGAGTTGGTTTCAGCTCATTTTTAAATATTTTACTAGAAAAGTATAAATCCAAACTCTTAATTTCTGGTTAGGTAAGTATTAGTAATTGACCAAGATTCTTTTTTTTGTTCTTTTCCTCTTTCAAACATGTGTATATTATATTAATTAACATTAGAGAAAAATTAGTTAGAAAAAGGGATAATTTGGGAGGAAAATAGGGGAAAGGAATAGGTAAGAGTCATAATCAAGAAATGTAAAGTAGCTGTACAATAGTGACTCAGTGCCTAACATGTAATCTAAAAGTAAAGAGTGTGAGTGTGACAAATCACAATCATATCTCTCTCTCTATCTCGATGGGTCAACAAAGCTTTGGATTTTGTCCATTACTATACGACAATAACCACAAACACACACACTGTCTCTTCTTGAATGGTTCTTGATATTTGTTTGGATTTTTTTTCTTGTAGAATGCGGCGGAGAAGCCACCGTTCTTCATGCCGAGCTGGACGGCGATGTACGTGTTGAACGCTTTCGTGGTGATTTGGGTACTAATAGTCGGATTCGGGTTTGGTGGATGGGCTAGTGTAACCAACTTTGTTCGTCAAGTCGACACTTTTGGTCTCTTTGCTAAGTGTTACCAATGTAAACCAGCGGTTCCAGCTGCGGCCGCGCATGCTCCGGTCTCGGCCTTACACCACCGTCTTTGAGAGATCTAGCCAGGGTCTAATGCTTTTGTGGAGTTATTTAAAAATTATTTGTTCATCGTTTGTGTTTTGTGTTCGTATACGTGAGGGAGTAAAAGTCACGAAAATAGTGTACTTAATACACACCCTCTTTGAATGCGTGCTAAGCTCTTAAA